GTTATCAAATCCGCCAACGCATCAAAGATTTGTTGAAAAGTTTATTGCTATTTTATACCAACCTTGTCATTAATTGGACTAGTCATGCATTACAAGAATTTTACAGATTTAAATGTGTCTACTTTTTTATGATATGGTTGTGCTCAGGAACACAAAATATTTTTTTTTAATGTAAAGAAGGAGGCAAACGAGCAGACGAGCCACTTGATGGGAGGTAGTCATCGTCGTCCATGGACATTTGCAACATAAGATGAGCTGCTTATGCTTTGACAGCCTTTGAGAGCCCTGTAAACACGCTTTTTGAAGAACCCCATGTCATAGCGCGAATGAAATACTTCAGGAGGAAGATCATTCCACATCTTGCAGGTTCGAGGAAGGAACTAACGAGATGTCTTACAATGCCAGGCATCTAATATGTGGGGATGGACTTTACTTCTTTGGCAGGAAATGCGATCGTAGAAACGAGTCGGTGGCACCAGTTCGAAAAGTTCCTCAGAGCATCCCCGTTATAAAGACGGTAGAACACACACAGAGAGCCAACGTTTGTTCGTAGGCTAAGGGGCTCCATACCGACTATGACTTTGGGATCATTGACAATACGAACAACCCTACGTTGGATGGAGTCAAGTGGTCAAGTTGGTATTTTGGAGTTCCTGCCCAGAGATGCAAACAATACTCCATATGGGACCGTACTTGTATTTTATATGACAAAAGTCGGTGACCTGTGTGTATGTGATTTTGATTCAAATTGGAATCGAACCGATTGGGTAGTCTCGAAACCAGATGGATTTCCGAGCGAGAAGATGAACCTGATTCCTACTATATCTTTCTAATTTGTGAGCTAAATCAACTATTATTTCGATTTGAAATATCAAAAATTTCCGATCGGCCAGTTGTGAATCGCAATTATGCGCCTCGACTCGGAAGAGACGCAGTTTCCGATCGGGAGAGGCAATCAAAATCAAGCTGCTGGTGAGAAGTACTTCTTCCCACCATCTCAATACTCTTAGAGGTGGTAAGGGGTGTTCTCAAACTTTGGCGCCATTATAAATGGGGATTTTTTAGCGGAGAACGCGCACACTTGTGTCTTTGTTATATTGTTAAAGTTTAGATAACATAGATGATGAAGGCGATCTTACGGAGGAGTTGCTGCAACGATATCTAAGTAGATTGAAGCCTTTGAGGAGATACCTATCTTTATATGCATATTGCAAAGATCTTGGTACAAATTTTTGGGATGACGTTGACAGGTGACCGTTGACGTCCTCCGTGTTCGAGTGGTTTGTTCACCGATTTTCATGGCGTCAACATCAATGTAGAAAAACTAACTTCGTAATTTCAGTTTTCCATAACACGAGTGCTTTACTTACTTATTTACTTTGGGATCAGAGCAACCTATGTGATGTTAGCTAATATTTACTATTTAGGTATAAATAAATAAATATATACCGCACACACTCATTGCCCAGCACTCGGGAAACTCTGTATCGCGAGTGCCACGGACACACACAAAGACCACCACAAATTACACCCAAACTCAAGTGAGAAATAAATGTAGGCATACAAATATTTGCCCCGGCACAGAAATCGAAATCGGGACCTCTGCGTGGCAGACCAGTATGGTGACGGTTCGGCCACGGATGCAATTAAGGAGGCAGTTTCTTACGCTAGGGTTGCGAATAGCACCTAATTAGTTACATGAGATGTTTGAACGGCTATGGAGTGGAATTCATTGCTGCAAACTTGTTCCCTGAATGCTATAACTTGGGCCTTTTCTAGGCGAGTTTGAATAGGCATTATTTAGGTGTGTATGCTCCATCGTCGACCTCATCGTTCATCTCATTTCCATCAGGTGAGATGGAGGTTAAATGAGCACTTATTTATTAATAAAAAAAATACGCTATAATAAAAAAGCATCGATGACGTTATAAGAAATTTGTGACTTTGCATATGTCATAAAAAATATCCATCATATACCTAATTAAAAGACGTTTTAATAGATCTGACAATCAATTAAGCGATAATCAAAATATATTAATTTATATAACGGTACGCAGGTTACCATGACCTTGTTTATGCTTAATATGGTTGAATTAACTACTTAGCATTGGATTATTGATTGGCTTAACAAGACATTTGACTGTGAAGTTTATTGTAATTAATCTGTTAAAATAAATGTAAAAATATTTCTTAAACAACATATAGTATGCTGACAGAAGCAGTCAAATAAAAGACTAATTACATATAAATAATGTAGTAGCAGTACTTACTTTAGTAAGTATTTTTAGTAGCACTAGCGCCGCCAGCAGCCCGGCTAGCTCAGTCGGTAGAGCATGAGACTCTTCGTATTCTAGAACTCTATTCAATGCTCAAGTCAGGATTGCACTGGCAACACAAGCACTGGAAATACGACCCTAATGGCAGGGACTTCATACTCAAGTATGATTTCTAGTGCTTTGAATCATACTCATGTCCTGACTTAAGCATTGAGTAGAGTTCTAGAATACGACCCTGAATCTCGTGGGTTCGAGCGCCACGTTGGGCGCGCAAGTCTGTATTTTTTCGCGCCTCTTATTAGGCTATAAAGGAAGGAATAGCCCCTCTCCTTCCTTCTTAACGAGGTGAGCCCGGAAACGGGTAGGCACCGCTGGGTTTTGGAAGAATGCTTCGGCGCCACTAAGACCCAGCACGTGATGCTGAGACAAGTGCCGCGGGGTTTTAGTGAGTAGGAGTCCCACATAACCTTCCGTCTGTATCCCCAGACGGATGGTATCCATGATGGATTCCCCCGCGTAAAAAAAAGGGAAGTGCTGCCATCTTACTGCCAACAAAAATGTGAGCATTACTGTTTTCCGGTTTTTACTTGACTTCAAAAAAGGAGAAGGAACTTAATTCGACTGTATTTTTCTTGTATGTATGTTACGCGATAATTTATTATTATTATTACTTATTTGTGAACCGAGTTTGATGTTTCTTTTTCTGTTGGAAAGCGTGTACCATAATATTGGCCCCATTTAAGTTTAAAGAAAATATTCCACCTCGAAGGGTGGCAAACTAGGTTTCGCGTACTTTCCGGTAACCGATTTCAATAAAGTAGATGTCATTCCACAAACCTTTGAGGTAGGTTTTTTTTAATAAAATGTTACAATTATGAAGAGTAAAGGTGCCGATGGAGTTGGACATGGGACTTGTCAACTTGTCTCTCAGGGTGACGGACGCAGTGGCAGTGCCTCTAAGATCTGTTGTGGGCGTACTAAGATTATTATAATATCAGGTGACGGGACGAACAAGTCGTGCGCCTGATGGTAAGCTTAACGCCTGTCCATAAAGTTGCAGTGCCTCTCAGAGCTTTCAATCGCAAAGATTTGGGGGGCACTCCCACTGCGCATCACTCTTAGGGTCGTATTCTAGAACTCTACTCAATGCTGAAGTCAGGATTGCACTAGAACACAAGCACTGGAAATACGACCCTAATGGCAGGGACTTGAGTATGATTTCGAGAGCTTTAAACCATACTCAAATCCTGACTTGAGCATTGAGTAGAGTTCTAGAATACGACTCTGAGACATAAGTTGACAATTTCCATGTACCCTTCAAAGCCGGAACGCAGTAATGCTCATATTATAGCGGCAGCAGAAATAGGTAAGGTGGCAGTACTTCCATGGACGAACTCTTTCACAAGGAGCTCTACTACTAAGTTTAGTTTAGACATATAATAATAAAATCTCAAAGTGAAATCATTCTCCGTGCTGAGTAACACTGTAACGAACTATCCAGAACACCCACAGTACACAGTACTAATTTAGTGAAAGCTCATTTCCCCAAATTGATCCTGCCGAGGATCGAACCCGTTTCTTTGTTCAGTGTCTACAGTGCAATATATAGGGCATAGTTTCCCAAAGTGGTCGCTACCGCCCAGTGCCCAGGAAGCAATTGGGGGGGCGTTGATGCTGTTCAGGGGTTGCTACCGCACCTCTATAAACTACACGTACTAAAAAGGCGAAATTACTAACCTCCAAAAGGTTAAAATGGCGGTTTAGTACTTTCGCCTTTCCAGGGACGACACCATTTTTGTCCTAGTGTTTTTTTTGTATTAATAAAAAAATACGTGTTTTTAATTATTTTTTGTGATGGTGGGCGTTGACATGTTTTTATCTTGCCTATATGGCCGATGAGTTCAAAAGTTTGGGATCCTATGCTATAGCTACTGATGTCGTCATAAGTAAGCGATTATCTCGCCAAATTTCGATCTTTCCATTTTGCAATCTTACGAATGGGGTTCGTTTTTATCTATGGAAAATTCATCATTGAGTATTGATCGATTGTATAAATCAAAGAAATCTAAACACTTTCAGTGTGCTATGCCGTTATCATAGAGGAAATCGACCTTCAGATTTCCCTGCTTCGTAGCGACAAAAGTGTGACATTCCGTCACGTTGTTGTGTAGGCCGGCAGTCGCCGCGACAACTCGTCATACCGGGTGAAATGAGACCGAATTTGCGATCATTCGTTGACACAATGCCGATTCATCGCTATTCGCCACCGTACATTTGTTTGGATAAAAGAAGCTGCTGGAAGATTGAGTATTCTAAATAAAACTGATACGTGAATGATTCTCGTTGATGTCTTTTGTACGTGCTAATAATTCTGAAACGAAAGCCCGAAAAAGCGTCCCCAATTCCAATAAATTACATTGTGAATGATGAGTAACTCTGTGTTAGTAAGGATAACAATTACATATAGGAAACTTTTTCGTAGGTAACAATACCCCTAAGTACGGTAAGAGGCAGGTACGCGTGTGAATAAAAGGCTCAGAAAAAATTGTCCGCGCCGTAAATGTTGACCTGTGCTGTCGTATCAAGAAGCGAGTTTATCCTTCAGCCGCGGCTCATGAGCCTTCTTCACAGGTGTGTAAGCGCAGGTATAGCCGCCCCCGCGGCGGAGCGGAGGGCGAGGTGCGACTCCGCGCGACGCCATCTTGAATTCCGCTCACTCAGACCCGCGCTCCAGCCGCGGCTGCCGCACGTACTGCTCCACGCGACACGATTATAATTTTATCAGTGCTGTGATTCAGTGTCATGTTGTGATAGTGCAGTGTATAATGGAATCGACGCCGATCTGTCGGTGCCGCGTGCTGTACCTCGGCTCTGCGGTGCCGCAGCAGAGTAAGGACGGCCTGCAAGGCATTCAGGAACCTTTGCGCGAGTTGTACCCGGAAAAGGGAGCGACCACCGGTGGCATAGATTCGTGGCTCTCCGTGTGGTCAAATGGAATTTTGCTCGAGAACATTGACGAAAGTGGGTCGCGGGTGGCCAGGTTCTTCCCGATATCGAGCCTGCACTACTGCGCGGCGGTGCGGCGGGTGACGGTGGAGGGTGCACCGAGGTTCCTGCCGCTCGACTCGCCGTTCGCGCGGGCGCCAGCTCCCAGGCGCCCTCCTTTATTCGCGGCGGTGTTACGCCGCACGCAGGGTATAAAGGTGCTGGAATGTCACGCCTTCATATGCCGTCGCGAGGCGGCCGCTAATGCGCTAGTCCGATGTTGTTTCCATGCGTACGCAGATAGTTCGTACGCCAAACGATTAGAAGCCGAACGATCCCCGTCTCAGTTGCCCCCGGAGCCGGAGGAGGAACTGGAGGTATACGATGGCGATGAGAACCACAAAGTATGGGTGGGTGAAACTGAAAGGGACGACGCGAGTGATGACATTCCTCATCCGACGCGAGCGCCGCGACCTCGGCAGATCACACGACCGGCCTCCGTGCCCCCTCCACCGCCGCCGCCCGAGGAACCCAAAAAGAAATCGGCTACAAAAAAAACTAAAAAGAAGTCGTCAGCTTCAGCGGACGAGTTATATGCTACAATGCCTGGGCCAGGACCGGCGCCGGCTCACATGATGAATGGCAGGTCGCTGGGACGCGCGCCGCCGGCGTGGGCGGCTGCGCACCCCATGGTGTTGGTCGCCCATCCGGCTGCGACCCTACCTCATGCGAGGCCAGCCACGTTAACCCATAGAGGTCGGGTGCCAGCTGCTCTAGGACCTGGGCCATTCCCGCCGGGTCCTCCACCTGGAAGGGGTCGCTTGCAATACGCTACAGTGGACCCTAGGCGTTCGAAGCCTCCACCGGCGGCGATGAAGGCTGCTCAAAGCATGAATGGACTGGAAGCTGTGGAAGACGCGGGTGGGATATACAGGAAGAAAGGCCATTTGAACGAGCGGGCGTTCTCATACAGCATCAGGCAAGAGCACAGAAGTCGATCGCATGGATCCCTCGCCAACTTGAAGTTCGCCGCTCCACCTGAGGTGAGTTATTGTTTGTAAGGTAAAGGCTACAGTTCTTGTTGCATGAGAAACAATCGCCGTCATTGAATGGTTTATAAACAAAGACGATACCGAATAATTAGAGACAGCTGTTTCTCACATACGGTGGGCAGACATATAAACACTGTTAAAATTATTTAATGAAAACTTTATTTACACAGTGATACAAATTGCAGTTTAAACAAATGACACTTTGTGTAACTTGATGTGTGGTTGAGTGTACATACGCGTATGTATAGCTATAAAAAACATTTCTAAATTTCGATAAGAGTAGCGTTCGACGTACCAATATGAAAAACTTTCACCGCAAAAACGAATTACGCGTGACATAAAATGTTATGTTAGAAAACGCAAGTTACGTGACAAAGCTACCGTAACCCGATGATTTTCAATAATTACAACTCAAGTATTGTAGAATGTACTATAAGCCACAGCTTAGAAACCACAAAACTTGAAATATTACATAAGGAGTAAGTATTCATTAATAAGCTTCCGATGTATTCTAATTTTACGAAAGTCGACGATTGCACTTATCAATTTAAATTTAAATTTTCTAGCTTGTTAGTATAAAATTTACGTTAAAATTTTACATATAAAGTTAATATTCAGTTGAGGTTACGCAGTGACTTTCTATATTTGAATTATCGGACGAGCGAGAAAAGTGAACAATGCAATCGTCCATTATCACGTAATTAAAATAGTTAAGAAGTTTGGACATAAAAATAAACATTATGCAATTTGAAAATTACTGCAATGTGCAATGGCTGAGTTGTTCAGTTATTTACTTTGAGCTCTGTCTTCGTGAAGACACAAAAGTACATTCTCCAAATCGGTCCTACCGGGAATCGAACCCGGAACCTCCACATCCAATAACCACTAGAGATGCACGATATCTTGCTTTGAATAAATTTTTTGGATCGTACTGTATCATATGAATTTGAATCGATTCACAGATTGAATTATATGCTTTTGAATCGATCCTATAAAAATCGTTCCAAATTTTTTGATAAATTTGATAAAAAAAATATTTATAACCTTTTTGAGTTTAGTTGCTTAGGACTTTTATTTACTGACATATTAACCAGTGAGAAAAGACCTTTCAGATGGCACAGAGTAGCGACAATCGCCAAATATCGTTGACTTATTGTATTTAGATGTTGTCAAAGTACTTTTGATGCAGATCAATATAAAATAGGATTAACTTTACGATTCAGTCGAGGTTCAGAATGACTGTTTTGTTTAAATTATGAATACGATGTAGACGATTCGATTCGTCTTAATTTTGAATCGATATGCTTAAAAATCGCATTGCAATGAATCGATACAAAGAGTCGCTAAATCGTATACACTTGAATCGATGTCCATAAAAATTGAATCGTAATGTGCATCCCTAATGGCCACAGTGCAAACTATTCGAAGTCGTTATAAGCATAAAATATAACATAGGCCTCGAATACAGAGAAACAAATTTGTTCAACAACAAGAATCTTTAAAAACACTTAATATTTCGAATTATCCATTTAAATTCAATTCTTCAACATTCTCACTGATGCTCTGTAGTCATTTTATAATAGAAAGAGTAGAAATAAACAGCTAGCTAATAAACTTTGTATACATTTGCTAAGAAGATGGCCTATAAAATCTGCAAACGCATTATATTGAGCCACTGCATTGCAAAACTTAAATCCATAACAAACCAGTTCTGCGTTATGTTATTGTGATTTGTTGCAAGCCTATTGGTTTAGTAGCGGTCGTATTATTAGCTTTTTTGAAAATGTTCGTCCAAGGAAATATTTCTGCCGACAAGCGGTAATGTTTTGAAGCGTAAGGGTGCTGGTGAAATTATAGGCACATGGGACTTGTCAACTTATGTCTCAGGGTGACGGGCGCAGTGCCAACGCCCTTCAAAACTCTAATCATCTTTATTTCATAGGTTATACCTGATATCGTCATATTGATTCAACTCTACTGCTCATTCGTAAGGTAGATTCCCCCGAAAAGAATGAGACTCTAGGTGTTTGTAAATATTTTTTATTTTATTTGGGATAACAACAGCAGTAATAAAATTCGCAATTTTTAACAATTTTTGGATGGGCCAATTACAGCTATCCACTAAAATAATTACTTTCTTTATTTACTAATTTATTACAGATACTGGAGGTATTAAGAGTAAAAATATAAATAAGGATGAATAAATTTAAATGAAGTTAAATAATCCTGTCTCTGATAAAAGAAAAACAACACGCAGAAAGTGAGAGTAAATGAAGATTAAAATAAAATAAATAGTATATGAATGTCAACACATATTAGTAATAAAATAATACATACATGCATTGGCTTACAAATAAATGGACGACGGGTCTAATACAAAAACAACGAAAAAAATTCCCCAAGTCAACCTATTTAAACGTAGTGACATGTAAAGGAATATGAAAAAGCTAAAACGTTGAATTTAAATTCTAATGTCATCGCAGTACTGTCTAATTTTGCTTGCTTCGCTGTCAGTCGAACAAACGAAGACTAAAGCGTGAATGACGCTCTGTATACGATTTTAACGCCCTATAAGTTCGGACACTTTTTAGCGCGGACCCGACGTCCATATAATTGTAAGTCAATGCATACATGTAATACATATCATTTACAATCTTATTTCAAACATCTTAGATCGAGAATACCTGCAACTACCACGGAGTTTGTGTAATTCACGTACGCAGAAAATGTATAATATATTATATAACAACAATAATCTTTATCATAAAGTTTTTGTTTCATTATAGTTTTAAACCTCGTAAGAGGACCTCAGATCTTACTATTATGAACAGGTGTGTCACTTACCACCACGTGCACGACTTGTTCGTCTTGTCACTTGACATACCTAAATAAAAAAATGGATCCCACAATAGATTAAGAAAATTCATTCCAGGGCCCTACCCTGAAAACCAATGTAAGAACTTGTTGAAAAAAGGGCAATTTACAAAACTTCGGCACTTGGACGAGTCTTTCGACGAGAAATAATAAAATAACCTCCTTTACCTTAAAACTATCGGAATTCAGTTTAGAAACTAGTTTTCCCCATAACCGGTTTCGTGTCCGTGATGCAACCTCCTGGAATCTCCAATTTAGGGCGCAAATTACCAATAACCTGATGTTACTTTTAATTTAAACCGACACTTAAATAACATTTCCTTTTTATGGTTCATTAAACCACAAATTCAATTACATTCTTTGTTTTTAGTGTTATAAAGTAAAGATTTCGTTAGCGTTTTAAAGTGAAGTTACCTGCAGTTGTTGTTGAAGATTATGCCTTATGACTTTTCGCATAAAGTCTATGGGCTTAAACGTTTTTCTGTACGATTTTGTAATTTTCAAATTGTAAATCGTTATAAGTGAAAAACGCATAGAAGCGTGTGTATTAAAAAAAGTACAACATTTTAACATCTAAAAAATATCTTATTAAAATCTAAGAACTGGCAATATGGTTTAGACGCCTTAGTCTATCCCGAAGGACGAAAACTTTACCTTTCTTTTTTTACAGTTCTGCATAGTCTAAAATTAGGTAAGAATATTTTGTTAGCACCTTAAATTATGTATATCTATGTTTTCTCTTACAAACCCTCTTCGTTAAAATACGTTTCTGACTCCTGTCGTCATGAATCCCGGTTAAAACTGGTATTAACCGGATTATAAGGAATTTACACTCGACGATCTTTAAGATATACTGTTATAATTACCATTTACATAACAAGTATAGGAATATGAACTGCATGGAGAATTTCTGTCGTAGTTGGAGAATAATCTTAAAATGTTAACTGGTTGGCTTAATAAAAAGAAGTATGAGCTGTACACATGGCCTGCACAATATATAATCTGTCAGAAGTTGAATGTTGGAGAATCGTGAAACCTACGCTCGGCAACACACGACCTTTCAACCGGTAATTTTATCCACTTTAAACACGATAATACACTCAGTGTTCTACAATTTTCTCACGGCTACATCTTCAAAAACACATGTGTTTTTTCCTTAATGTTGGCAAAGAAAAAAACTATTAAATTTCAAGGTTCTTATTGAGTTTCTCGTAACTTTTTAAAAGGTATTTTGATGTGTGTAACATGTTTATTGGTTTTGTTGCTTTCAAGAATAATATCTCAAACTAAAATAGTTCATTTTTGACTTTATGTAACTGCTGCACACAGCAGTTAACAGTTTGTAGTTGCAGTGGAGTTCCTTGTGAAGTACTGCCACCTTACCTACTTCTGCCGCCAAGTAGTAATGTCAGCATTACTGTATTTCAGTTTTGAAGGGGAAGGGTGCTGGTAAATTACAGGCACATGGAACTTGTCAACAGGGGCAGTGTCTCTCAGATCTTTGTGATTTAAAGTTCTGAGTTGCACTGCAACTGCTAAGCTTAACACTGTCACTTGTCACTTGGTGTCTAAATAAAAAAACATAATTTTTTATAAATGAGACACCGAACTTTGCATTGGTTAACGTAATTATGTCACAATTTTGGACCAGTATACGATTTGCCAAATACACCTCAGTTGTTTTTTTAAACCATCGTCCTGATAAATTTTGACGACCTCTGTGGTCGAGTGGCTTGCACACCGGTTTTCATGGTGTCACCATCTCTGACGTCTCTGGTTCCATCCCCGGCCGGGTCAATGTAGAAAAACTAACTTTTCTATATTGTCTCGGGTCTGGGTGTTTGTGGTACCGTCGTTGTTTCCATAACACAAATGTCTTAGTTATTTTGGAGTCAGAGCGACGTATGTGGTGTTGTCTAATAGTTATGTATTTATTGTACAGCTAGGACAGTACAACGAATGCGCTAAATTTTATTACGAATAAAACACCGAACTTTCCATTGCTAAAAAAAAATTACGTCACAATTTTGAGCCTGTGTGCGATTCGCCGGCTTTAATTTTAATAGATTCAGGCGTTACTTTGCGGAAGTTCATGTTAACAAAAATTTAACTAAATT